TAAAAAAGATTACCCACATTGTCAAAGTAGGATTTATTCCAGGAATGCAAGGTTGGTTTAATATCCAAATCAATTAATGTAAAAAATAATAATAGGGGCCAGCCCAGTGGTGCAGCGGTTAAGTGCGCACGTTCCGCTTCCACGGCCCAGGGTTTGCCAGTTCGGATCCCAGGTGCAGACATGGCACCGCTTGGCACGACATGCTATGGCAGGCGTCCCACATACAAAGTAGAGGAAGATGGGCACAGACGTTAGCTCAGGGACAGTCTTTCTCAGCGAAAAGAGGAGGGTTGGCGGCAGTTAACTCAGGGCTAATCTTCCTCAAAACAAAAACAAAAAATAATAAATAAATTAAAAACCTGTATCCTTTAAAGTATTAGTTAAGTTTGATACAGGATAAAAATCTCTGATTCTTGTGAGTCTTAACTGACATCTAACACTTTATGTTAGCTCAAAGTCATATTAAAGATTTTGCTATTAATAAGTAATATTTCATTGAACAATGTTAAAAAACAAACAAAAATCTGTGTTTGCTTCCATCATTCCCAGAACAAACCTATAGGTAAAATGAGATTGTCTTTTATAATTGACTATTTGATTTTTTTCTTTCTTTTTTTTTTGTGAGGAAGATTGGCCCTGAGCTAACATCTGTGCCAATCTTCTTCTATTTTTCGTATGTGGGATGCCACCACAGCATGGCTTGATGAGTGATGTGTACGTCCGTGCCCAGAATCCAAACCTGCGAACCCTGGGCCGCCAAAGCCGAGCATGTGAACTTAACTACTATGCCAGCAGGCTGGTCCCTTGACTATGTGATTTATGTCATAAGCTTTTTTTTGCTTATGTTTCTCTCTTTAGTCCTAACAATAACATGGAAGTTCTATTTTAATTTAATAAAGATAAAGAAAATGAGAAAAAAAACCAAATTAATGTGACATACCATACTAATAAAAGATATGATCATCTCAATAAAAGCAAAAAAAGCATTTGATCAGACCCAACACCTCCTAATGACAAAAACTTTCAACAAACTAGGTATGGAAAGGGACTTCCTATTACTGAGGAAGAGCGTCTACAAAAGACCCAGGGCCAACATCAAACTCAATCGTGAAAGACTGGACTCCTTCCCCAGGATCGGGAACAAAACGAGGAGCCACTCTCACTGTATCTACTCAGCGCTAACATCAAACTCAATCGTGAAAGACTGGACTCCTCCCCCAGGATCGGGAACAAAACGAGGAGCCACTCTCACTGTATCTACTCAGCGCTAACATCAAACTCAATCGTGAAAGACTGGACTCCTTCCCCAGGATCGGGAACAAAACGAGGAGCCACTCTCACTGTATCTACTCAGCGCTAACATCAAACTCAATCGTGAAAGACTGGACTCCTTCCCAGGATCGGGAACAAAACGAGGAGCCACTCTCACTGTATCTACTCAGCGCTAACATCAAACTCAATCGTGAAAGACTGGACTCCTTCCCAGGATCGGGAACAAAACGAGGAGCCACTCTCACTGTATCTACTCAGCGCTAACATCAAACTCAATCGTGAAAGACTGGACTCCTTCCCAGGATCGGGAACAAAACGAGGAGCCACTCTCACTGTATCTACTCAGCGCCAACATCAAACTCAATCGTGAAAGACTGGACTCCTTCCCTAGGATCGGGAACAAAACGAGGAGCCACTCTCACTGTATCTACTCAGCGCCAACATCAAACTCAATCGTGAAAGACTGGACTCCTTCCCTAGGATCGGGAACAAAACGAGGAGCCACTCTCACTGTATCTACTCAGCACTGTTGGAGGTTCTACCTGGGCAATGAGGCAAGAAAAAGAAATAGGCATTCAGACTAGAAAGAAGCTAGTAAAACTATTTCTATTTGCAGGTGACAACATTTTGTATATAGAAAATCCTAAAGAATTCACTAAAAGCTCTAAGAATTAGTAAATGAGTTCAGCGAGGTTGTAGAATTCAAGATCAATATACAAAAATTAATTGTATTTCTATCATTTGCAATGAAGAATACAAAAACAAAATTAAGAAAACAATTCTATTTACAAGAGAATTAAAAAAAGAAATTAATGCTCAGAATTAAACTTAAAGGAAATGCCAAACTCTGAAAACTATAAACATCACTGAAAGAAATTAAAGAAGATCTAAACAAACTGAAAGACATCCATGTTCACAGATTAGAAGACCTAATATTAAGATGGCAATACTCCCAGAATTGATCTGGAGGTTTAACACAATCCCTAACCAACTCGTAGCTGGCTCTTTGCAGAAGCTGAAAAGCTCATCCTAAAATTCACATGGAAATTCAAGGGGCACAGAATAGCCAAAATGATCTTGAAAAATAAGAACAAAGCAGGAGCACCAGCATTTTCCAATTTCAAAATTTACTACAAAGCTGTAGTAATCAAGACAGTGTCATACCAGCATATAGATCAATGAAATATAATTGAGAGGCCAGAAATAAACCCTTGAATTTGATTTTCAGTAAGGTCAATTGATTTTTGATAAGGGTGACAAAACAATTCAATGGAGAAACAATAGTTTTTTCAACAAATGTTGCTGGGACAACCGGATATCCACACGTAAAAGAACGAAACTGGACCCCCTCTCACATCACATACCAAAATTGCCTCAAACTGGATCAAAGACCTAAACGTAAGAGCTAAAGCTATAAAACTCTCAGACGAAAACTTAAGTCTAAATCTTTATGACCTTGAATTAGCAATGGTTTCTTAGGTATAGAGCCAAAAGAAGTGAAAAATATGACCACACAAAAACTTTTCCAAGCATGTTCATAGCAGCATTATTCATAGTAGCCAAAAATGGATGCAATCCAAATGCCCATCAAATGATGAATGGATTAAAAAGAAATGTGGTACAATGTGGTACCCTCGTTTTATTGTGCCTCGCAGATATTGCATTCTTTTTAAGACCTTCCACCAGCAAAAAGACTACAACTTGCCAAGGGCTCAGATGATGGTTAGCATTTTTTGGCAATCAAGTATGCCAAAAATACTTAATTAAAATACTTTTAATTAAGATATGTACATTTTTTAGACATAATGCTATTGCACGCAACAGACTACAATATAGCGTAAACATAACTTTTATATGACTGAGCAACCAAAAAATTCATGTGACTTGCTTTATTGCAATATTTGCTTTACTGCCGTGGTGTGGAACTGAACCTGCAATATCTCTGAGGTAAGCCTGTATATCTACACAATGGAAAATCATTGGCAATAGAAAGGAATAAACTACTGACACATGATACAATACGGATGAATCTTGAAAACAACATGCCAAGTGAAAGAAGCCAGTCACAAAAGACCACATATCGTATGAGTCTGTTTATATGAAATGTCCACAATAGGCAAATCTATAGAGACAGAAAGTAGAAAGTAGCTGCCTAGAGCTGGGGGGATGGGGAAGTGAAGAGTGAGTGCTAAAGGAGATAAAGTGCCCATTTCAGGGTGAGGAGAATGCTCTACAATTAGACTGACGGCTGCACAACTGTGAACAGACAAAAAACCGGAGAACTGGACTCTTTAGATGGACAGTGACTCACATCTCAACAAAGCAGCTACTACAAACAAAGAAAGAAGATAGCAAAGAAGTTGTCTCAGGAGAGAAGATTTAGGGGAACAGAGATTTTATTTCTATTTGGAAAACAAAAATCTATAGTACGACTATTATGCCAAGATACTCATTATTTTTATCTTTTTAAAGGATACCTGGGGAAGAAGATCTTATTTTGTTTTTGTCCTTTTCTTCAATTCTTCTTGAAAATCACACTTTTTTGAGTATGCAGCTATCTAGCTAAAAATTGCGTAATACAGTCTGGATACTGTCAGGTGTCCATTATCTACAAAATGAGGCACATACAAAGACAGAGCACCAGTTCGGAGTTTAAAGTCTGAGAGTTCTTCCCTGTAGACACGATGCTTATTATTTCTATGCCTCAGTCTCCTCTTCCAAAAATGGAGCAGTACCTACATTACTCATGACAAAATTAGTGCTTTAAAGGGAAAGTTTTCTTAATATCCCTAAACACTGTCCAGATTACCATAAGATTCAAAAACAGGACAGCAGCTACGAAGTCCATAACTCTAAATCACACAGACCTAGAAGGGCAACAAGAAATCCCTCTAGTTCAGTCAAAAATGTTGGTCTAGTGCCTTAAGTACTGAAGTACCATTTACAAATAATTAGGAAAGTGTACAAAAAGACGGGAATTAAACTAAAATGTGTAAAATCATAAAATGATTAAAATGAGATATTTAAAATCATATAAAATGTTAAATCTATACAAAGATGTTATTCCTCAAATAAATATGAAGCACCATGGGGTGTTCTATGTTACTTTTTTAAAAATTAGAACAAGCTTCAAAGATGTTAAATTTAGGTTCCTTTGCTAGCTATCCTAGGATGTCTAGTAAAAAAGCATTATTGATTATTACTACTTTTATCAGGACTATAATAATTCAAGACTGGAACCAGAGTAGAGTTCTAATCTTAATTCTCTAATCACTTAGAGTATGCCCTCACTGTGAAAGTTCAAATATATAGTTAAGTTGATAAAAACACTGGGTTTAGGCTTAACTATGGTATTTCTTATAAACTTGACTACATTCCCATTACCATTTGTTTTATCAGTTTGTTAAGAAAGCTGAGTTTAAGACTACACAACAGGATGTTTCCAAATCCTGTGTAAGCATTCACAGTGGCTCCTATGCCTTGAAACAGGGAAAGTATCCATTTCTAGTTAAAATCCAAAACTCACCATACTTTATAATGCTTCAAATACAGAGTAGCATCTCTCTTTGAAACCACAGTTCCAACTTGCAAAGTACAGCGGCGTTTCTCCTTATTCTGACAATTTGATTAAAATTTCCCCAGAGCTACGGGACTCAGGCCGAAGAAAAGTGCTTTCAATATCGGAAACTCTACAGCAATTACTCTCCCAACAGAGTAACTGTACTTACATCGATATCCTCTTGGGTAAAGGTTTCCGGATCTTCTCCCATCATGTTGGCTAAATGTCTCTTTCCTATGTTGAACTCTTCAATCTGCTTTTTAATAAAATCCAGCGTGTAAGTTTCACGTCTCAAGGCTGCAATATTTTTCTTTGTTGATACAACCGTGGTGTGTCTTAGCCTTAATATCTAGCAGAAAACGTAAGTGGAAAGAAAAGAAAAGATTTTAAATTAAACATTGATCTTATAAGCCACTGTCTCTAAATAAAACAAGATATTCAAACAGTTGTCTTTTCATTATGCTACTCAGTTGGCAGGAGTCTGGAAACAAGGTAAAAGATCTATTAAGAAAGCTGTTAGAAATTGTCCCCTGCTCAAAAGCTTGCTTTTAAAAGCCTGCTTTTACAAAGTAGTTAAACTACTAGCATTTTAACTGATTAAAGATGATAATACTTGTAAGTGAGATCCTACTTCCTTATCTACCGCAAACATTCATATTTGATACTGATTGGTCAACAGCAGCTAGTTGTGATATCTGACACATGCAACAAAGGGTAGAATGTCACCCCTTAAAAAGAGGCCAATGTACATGCAGATAGAAACTAGCAAGTGGAAGACATGGCAGCCAAGGGGCATGTACCTGGGAACAGTATTCCTAGACTTGAGGTACTCACCTTGCTTGAGGGTACAGATACAGCCTATCTTTAAAAGCCTTGAAATAACAGGTTTAGCTTAGTCTGAGACTTTATTCTACAGTCCTTATTTCAAGTGGACACAATGAAGAAACTGCTTCACTGAACATTGAGAAGATTTCTTATTATTAATTTGGTTCAACATGCTAACTGTAGAAATAAGGGCTTTCACATCATTTTGAACTATTAGTAATGATGTCACACCTGCTGCTGTTGATCCATTTATTCTAGGAATTTCCCCCCAAGGCATTAATATTTTACCTGCAATACAGGGTGTTAAAGAATCAGAAAAATGTTTTCAAATGATCATTCGGCCGCACTCAGTTAGCCGCATATAACTAGAACAGATCTTTCTGGTCCTGGCTTTTCTCATAATCTTAAATTTGTGGTTCTCAACGTTTATCCCAGCCTTGATAATTTTAAACACTCTTAAGCAGTATTCAGACTTTAAGAGTGACAAATAAAAATGGCAAGCAATAGGATATATTGAAGTATATGAGGAAGCCATTTGGTATAAACCTAATTCGGCCTGACTTTGTTTTTTCCAAAAGGGCCTGACTGTGGCCGTTGAGCACGCATTGCATATCTGCTTTAAAACATTTACTATAGCAAGAACAAATGGCCTTAAGATAAAGGTGCAACTTCCCCCCACATTGGCATTTCCTTAGGGGTAAGCATCTTTCCTTAGGCTAGGGACTGATTGCTGCACTCACCTTTGACCACCCAGCTCACCTGTAACCACCCAGCTCGAGATAACAGACTGCCACCCTGCTGTGTTCATTGAGACAGCAGACCCACCTGCTGTTTCCATCAATCGCTGTGCCACAGAGCAGTCTCCCGACTACTGTAAAAGGGACATTTCAATCATATGTGAAACACCCTGTTTGGGGGTATATAACCACTCTGTGCACCCCACTTCTTTGGTGCCCTTTCTTCCTTTGGGAAGAAAGGCCCCTGGCCATGGTCCTCAGATTTCAGCTCAGAATAAACACTCCCAAATTTTCATTTATAGATTGGTTATGGATTATTTTTGTTGACAAGAGCTACAATTCTTAGTAACTCATTCACTTCCTTTTTCATAAACATAAAACTCTTACACATACCACCACCAGCACCATCTCTCCTTCATCCATTCCCTATCTCTTTGAGAAGGAGAGATTCAAATAACTCTAATAGTAATTTGTCACCACAGCTACAATAGAAAATGGAAGAAAATTACAGGACAAATATTATAATACTCAATTAATAGTAAAAATTATATTCCTAAACTCTCACAAATTAAAATAGTGATAAAACAATTTCTTGCTACTTTTCAATGAGTAAGAAAGAGGAATTTAAAATTCCCTGAAACTTTATAGTTCATTTTTCCTCAGGAGAACTGAGAGGAGTGTCTCTTTACATTATTAACCAACAATTATATCTTCTTATGATGCTTTATAAAGATACAGTGTTATATCAGTGAGTAAAAACATGACCCAAACTTGCTCATGTACAGTTAGCCTGCCCTTTACACGCAGAGTCTGCCTTCACACCTCTGCCACCTCTCCCCACAGCCAAGGGCCACCAGCACCAACCCTTCCAGCTCAGTAGTTTTATCATCTTATGTTTTCACTTTTTCCAGGCTTTTGTTTTTATTTTTTATGATTCCCTGTCTTCTTTGAACAATGGAGAATGGTGCTTCTTATATTCAAAGTGAAGAGAAAACACTTTTCCTGCCCCAAGAATCATGGCAAAGGTATGAATTCGGGAGAGAAACATAGCAGTCATCCAGTAGAGGTAATTCTCCCAAATCTTCCATTGCCAAAGGATGATGACACTGCTGGTTTTGTAAATAATATGACTAACTGTTTTTGTCCATAGCTAAACAACCCATTGATAATCCAGGTGAATCCAGTACACTTCCCACCAATCACCAACCACAGCCCTTAGAAGAAATAAGTCTCCCAGTGAACATGGCTCCCTTCACTGAAGTACAAATTCTAGAGGGAGAGCAAGATTAGTGAGGAAAGTGGTGAGTTCAGTTTTGGGCACGATGAATTTGAGATGCTTGATGGACACCTTAGGAGAGATAGTTGTCCAGGAGGCAGATGGCTCACAAGAGAGAGCTAAGCTAGAGATACAGTCTGTTAATAATCAGCGTGGGACATGATGTTGATACCATCACAATAAGGGAAAGAGCAGCCATTAGGTTTAGAATGAGAAACATCTCTTCTATGCAAAGAAACAAAATAGTCTGTGGGGGAGAGTAGGCATAAAGGTAAGGTGACTTATGTCTCATTGCCATTGTTTTCTTTGTGAAATAGGACAGCAGATGGTCTGCAGAATAAGGGTGAAAGGTGTGATGGACTGAATACTTCAAGAGCAATGACGCAGTGGCTGTAAAGTGTAGACACAAAAAATAAAGGAAAAAAATTTTAAGTATCCATTTATACTGGATGTAAGCCAGGAAAATACCAAAGAAATAGAAATCTACATCTATACAGCATCTGTAACATCTCCTTTGTCAATTATCTTTTCATTTCCTATGTATTTTCTTTGTATGTTTCAGTGGTATACTCAAGGCACCATTTAGCTCAGGAGAATTCTACATTAGGGCAGATTGCACATATCAGCATTATAAAGTGTTCCACTCCCATGCGATACCTTTATCTTGAATTTAATTCTGTTGGATTGTACCACTGTAGCCCTTTCAAATTCCTATTTGCATTTCCCTGGAATATCATTGCCCACATTTTTCTGTGAAATTGAATCACTTTAGGTTTTGGATTTTTTTTGACCCAATCTGAATTTTTTTAAATACTTGATAATATCCCATTTAAACAAGTTTTAATAGATATTCTGTCTTATTTTGCATCTTAATTTATCTTTTTCTTTATGCTTCCTTCCTGTTTTCTTTCTTTTGCTATATGGTCTGTAGTTTTCTTCATTTGTCTTTTGATCTGGCAATGTAGACAATATACTGCCTACTTTTATTTTACCAGCGATCACCTATACATCTCTGAATAAAATGTTTAAATGCATTTCTCCTACTAACCTCAGAAAAAACCAATATCCACTGAATTCTCACCTACTTATGTTCTTCTTCTTCAATCACACTAATTATCTGTTATTATGTTCTCCATACATACCAGCTTCTCTTCAGGCTTATTTCTTGTCCTTTTCTTCTGCTTTCTGTATGACTTTTAAGCCTTTACTCCATGTTTTTTTACCCCTTTTTTTGCAGTGTCAATTGTGCAGCCACTCTGAATTTTTAGCTTTTTATATCATTGGTCTATCTTCAAAATTCTTTCCTTAACAGCTTCTTTTAATCTTATCTTCCTGTCTTATCCCGTTTCACAGAATTCTCCCTCACCCAATCTTTTTTTAAATGTCCTTGACAGTATGAAGTAGTTATAGTAAAAGAATTCTTCCATTTTGTTGAGTAAATATTTCTTGTATTTTCTTCATATCTCTCTTCTACATTGTTCCATTCCTTCTTTTGTTCCTAAGACATTTTAGCATCATCTCAAGCAAAACAGTTGATTATTGGCTCAAAGACTCATTTCTTTACTTGATGTAAAATTATTCTGAGTCTGTCTATATTCTCCAGAGTTTGTGACATGAGGTGGCAGCTTTCTTAGTTTCAACATAAATGAGGCTTAACAAACATTTGTGAAATTGCTTACTGTTGTTCATTTAGAAAGGGCCTTCTTTTTTTAATTAGCACATGTCCCTAATTTGCTATTTTTCATAAAATCACTTTAAGATCTTTAAGATCTTTTCAAAGACATTTGTACACACTGCTTAAGAATATGACATTGTGAAAATTCATACTTATTAAAGTTACAAAGCCATCACAGCGTCAGTGCCAGACTACTGGATATACCTATTAAATGTTCTGAATTATTCCAGCAATGAATTCACACAAAACTATTTACATTCAAAGGAGTACGTTATTCATTACTACAATCCCTCAAGAAGATGAGGCTGAGTGAGAACCAGATCTTTAGCTCCGAACACTAAGAATTCAGGAGAGAATCAGCTTTGCACTAAGTACAACTCCCAACAAAATGTCCTACAGGCTCTATTTCCAACTGAAAAGCTAGGACAGAGACTCTTCCTCAGACTTTGTTTTCACGGAATACTATAGATACAACCTGACAGATTTGTTTCTTTTTAAAGATAAAGGGTCAGACAACTATAATTTCAATCAAGCAGGTTGCCAAAGAAGCAGATGCATACTGACAGAGCAGTGATGTCTCAATTTGGCCAAATGCCACCGCTACGCACTACTTTAATGGTATTACAGGAGTATTAAGTAGTTCCCTTTTTGTTCAACTGGATAAAAATGGAACAAAGAAGAATCTGCTGCTAATTTGAATAGAAAAGGCAAAAAAAAAAAAAACTTTGAGGAATAAAAGGTAAAGACTGAAGTCAGATTACAGAAAATATGGATAACAAGAAACAATATAAGGACTCCAAGAGAGTGACTACAGTAACCTTGCTGAATAAGTTTAT